GCTTAAGAGCTCCTAGTTGCCAAAGCCAGCAGACTCTTCATCTTGACCGACTGGTGGCATGTAGCACTTTTAAAGTCCCTTCAGAAACTCTCTTCTTACGACATTGTTCTTGTCAGATCTTCACTTGTCGTCCTTGCTTCCTCTTATTCTGCCCAGCATATGGAAATGCTGGTGTTTTCTGAGGTCTGTCTCTGGCATTTTCCCTGACTATGGCCTCTTCCTACTAAGTGATCTCAGCCACTCACAAAGTGTAAGCTGCTACTTCCAGACAAATGACCTTGAAATCTGGAGCTTTCCTAGCACGGAGAACCTAGTGGTATATAAAACTGTCGTCTGGAAATTTCCACTTGAATTGAATGTCTATTTGAACGGAATTTTGAATACAACATGTCTAAGACAGAGCTCTTAATCTTCTCTCCATACTTAATCGTTTTTATAGTATCTCTCTCAGTGATGAAACCATGTTTTGGGTCAATCAATCCAGAAACTAGACTCATTCTCCCTCCACTAGTCAATCACAAAGTCAATTCATTTGTCGATGCTGATTTGTCAGCATAACCCTTTCCCTCCCTCCCACCAGTGCTCACCTGAGATTCCTATCAGCCTGGGATGGTCGTGCTGGAAGACTCCTACTCTCCTTCCTCAGAACAGACTCTCATCCTTGCCTTCGATGGGAAAAACCTGTCTGGAATAGTACTAAAGCTCCTCTGCCTTTGTGCAATGGACTTGGGATTGAAGGTAACCTGCCCTCTTACATGCTCCTCAGTTGTGTCCTCTTCCCCAGCTCTGTCAACCTATGTGTTTCTGGGTGGTATCCTCTAGTTCTGTTCTGGGTCCTGCTGCTAAGAGGGCTGATATTTAATTTCCAGACTGGAACCCATTTGAGAAAGAAAGAGGGTGTTGTTAATATTTATACTAGGCATAAGCTGGTACAGTTCTGAAAAACCTGGGATGTATCATTACCCTATTTATTCTTGACAGAGATAACATTTAAAGAAGTACTTTATAAACTACAGATGATGATACCAGTAATGGCAGCTAATCTTTTTTGAGAGCTTGGCATAACTAAGTCACTTCACCGAGTGATTTATACAATGAGACACATTTAATCTCTATGAAATACTTTCTGTCCTCATTTTAGGTGAGGAAACCTAATGGCACAGCACTAAGGTGCACAGCAGGTAGGAGGCTGAATTGGGGTTCAAATGAGACACCCTGACTAAGTGTCACAATACTGGATCCAGGTTCTTTTCCCTTTTCGGTACCAGCCAATAAGCTCTTTTCTGTGAATTCACCTCAGACCTGTCAA